AATTAGACAAAGACAAAAAGTGAGCATGAGAGAAATGCAGAACTGTGCAAGTGTTGAGGTACTGGGGTGCTAGATGTATGTGTTTTGATAAATTGTAGGTGTTTTGGCACAATCTCTAAAGTCTGTCTTCAAGGTAGCATTAAAGTCATTATTAAAGCTCACTAAAGGAAGTCATCTCCATATTTAAACCTTTATAACTCATCCATTCTGTATTATTGGGAATTTGAGATATCTTAGTGTGTTCAGGGCCTTTTCATCTAATAAAATTTATACAGTTAAGCAAGATAAACTTTCATGCAGCAAAACTTCAGACCAGTATTTTTGGGATTTTGGGGGGGATGGGTGGAGGTTGACAGGGTTTCTCTGTGTAGCCCTGGCTGTCTTGAAACTCACTCTGTAGACCAGGCTGGCCTTGAACGCAGAGCTCTCCCTACCTCTGCCTCTAGAGTGCTGGATTGAAGGTGTGTGCCAGCCCAACATACCTGGCCAGCTCAGTGGTTCTTAATATACAAATAGAAGGATCAGTAGGTCTTGAAATAAAATGTTTCCTTTTGAATGATCTCTTTATATTTTAATTAACTTTTTATTTCTGATTTTATTATTTATCCTACATTTGATAAAAGACCTGATTTTGAAATACCATGTATTGTGGCTCTTTAGGAAACTGCCCAATTTATCAGAAACACTTTTCCTTTCTTTTTGTTTCTGCAAAGCTTACTTTACAGTCTCGTAACTCAAGTTTCTATATCAGGCTAAGCATTTGTATATAGTAAAAATCTGCTGTTTGAACTTAAGTGTCTTTAAAGAGCAAGGCCAGCATGAGTAGGTTCACTTAGCAGTGTTATGTGTGGTTCAGATCCACTGCTCCTTTGTTTTCTTTTTTTCTCCCAGCCTTTGAAAACAAAACCTGAGACTAATTTAAAGAATAACACAGTGTACAGTATATTTGTCTCTTTGTATTTTATGTAATTAAAAAATAGTTCATCCTTTAAGATTGGTGTGTGTGTTGTGTGTGTGTAGTTATAAAAAAAGGAAAACAGATCCTTCTGGAGTTGTTAAGGAGGAGGAGATCGTTGTAGAAAGAATGGATGTGATTTCAAGAGGGTATTTTTGCATCAGATGTACATGTGAGAATGAAAGCAGCCTTGAAAAAATGCTTTCAAATAATTACTGTTGAAATTAAAACTTTATTAGATCTGTGAAATAAGAGAATGGTAAGACAAATACAAACTTCAAATGAAAATTTAAAGTGCCAAATTAATTTTTAAGTTTTCAGTATTTCACCCACTATGATCTTAGACCTATGAAAACATTATTTGAAACCAAAACAGTTTGAGCCATAATCTAATAAAATGTGTTGTATTTGTATTGCCATGTTATTTTATATTTCAAAAGAAACAGTATCTGTAGCCTAATCTACAATAATATAGTAAATTGTTTTGGAAATTTGGCTTGACACACAAACTGATGTGTTTTCTCGATTTCTTTCGACTGAAGTTGGTGGTTAGTGGCTCATTGTTCTGTGATTGGCACGGAAAGCCTCATTTCACAGCTTGCAGTAGGAAACTATTGGGTAAAGAGTGGTTGTGTTCCACAAACGAAATTCAGAAAGTGTCAATCAAACTCTTACACGGGTTACTCGGAGAATGAGTTTTCTTACTGATTTCACTAAATGTCGCCTCATGCTGTCTTTGATTGGCGTAGCCTGGCAGGGAGGATGGATGAATCTGTCACCAGCTAGTTAATTGTGTTGCTGGTCTCGGTCTGACATCAGGTCTTTGACTCTTAAATGGCTCAATACAAAACAAATTAGCAGATTGTAGTCATATTTCTCATTCTATATGCTCTGCCTTTGGTGAATGCAGTCCATAAATCATATTGACTGACACACAAGCAAACGATGAAAGCTGCTTTTGAGACGCCCGTCCAGAAAGCAGCCCTGTGAAGGTGCCATGGAAGGGTGCATGTGCTTGACCCTGTGGGAATTGCCAAGGAGCCAAATGTCTCTTTGCCACAATTGTTCTTAGAAGAAAAGCTTTGGAGTAATGCAAAAAGGATCTAATATGTCAGCAGATTCTCTTTTACAAGTCCCTTTGAAATATAAGAAGTTTGTCTAAGGGGTTTTTCTCTTGGCAAGTTGTTTTTCAGAAAAAAATGTTAAAGCAGGGTGAAAAAATGTAGTTACCTTTTTAAAAGTTTGGCAGGTGTTTTTACTTATTGAACTTTGTGTTGTTAAAGAGAAAGAAAATGGTAGTAATGTAGCAGATGAGGGCAGGAAATGTTTGATTGCTTAAAATGTATTAAATGCGTACTGTTTTATTGGTTATTTTGGCTTTGTTATAATGTTCATGTCTATTGAAAGCTAGTTTTTAAAGGCAACCACGAAAGTGTTTAAATTTTTTGTTTTAGGATAATACATTATTGTGATAATATCAGTGTTACTAGTTACAATAATGTTCAGAGAGTCAATGTTATTAGTTATAATAGTGTTCAGGGAGTCAATGTTACTAATTACAATAGTGTTCAGGGAGTCAATGTTACTAGTTATAATAGCATTCAGGGAGTGGTTGGATTATTAAAATGGACCAAGAGTTTTAGGCTGGAGATAATCAGTTGCAAATATGTTTTTGAGTGTATAAATATTGAAGACATTAAAATTTTTCTATATAAAATAGATAAAATTTAAAGAATGATTCTGTACATTCTGAAATTACAAAGTGGACATCTAGAGACTAGTATATAATGTTATAAAATACAAGCTTTTAAATTTTTCAAAAACCTGAACCTTTGATAGTATTAAATTTTAATGTATAAAAAGGAATAATTTATTTTAAAAAATCATAAATTTTGTACTTTGTAAGTCTTTAAAACTTTTATCTTTGAGCACAGTAAGCCTGTTTTCAATATGCCTAATCAAAAGAAATTTAATATTAAGGTTTTACTGTTACATAAGTATTATTTAACTACAAAGCAAATTGGTATTTGTATTTTCATTGCCTGTTTCCACCAGATGTATGGAATAGCTTATACTCTTGTCATCATTTTTGGCTCCAGTACTATTGTATAGTTATTTTTTTCTCTGAACCTATGTTAAAATAATGCTACTTAAAATGTATGGAATGTTTATGTGCACAATGAGTTCATTAATTTTTTGACAGTTTATTGATCTGGTTTTTCAGCTAGTACATTGTTGTGTAACAGTACAGTGAGCCGTAGAGCTGAACTCGTGGAAAAGTACATTAAGCTAAAAATGCACATTAAGTGAAAATAACATTTCCGTGAAGTATTTGCAAGCCTATGACACCAAAACTAAATGACATGCCATTGATTTCTCTTTTTTCTGCTCTTATTCCCCTCCCATTCATATTGATACTATTCTGCTTGGAGAATGGAGCTGTGTCTCTCAGATGATTCCTCTTGGGTTTGGGGCCTTTTGAGCATGCTGGGGTTTTCATTGTTTGTTGCATTCCTTTTTTTGGCAATTCATCAGTATCTGTCAAATATATTGTTTGCATTGGCTTTTATCTCTGAAGTTTTCGATTGAAAAATTGACACTGCTTGTCAGATATTTAGTTTTCTGCTATGCATAGTATCTAAATGCTAAGCACCCATCCATAAGCAGTTTGGTTCTGTCTGGTTTTTAATGTGTAATTTAAAGAACAAATACTCTAATACATATGAAATGTATTTATTTTCCTTGTGACCTATCATATCAACTCTACACAAATATTAACATGTTGTAGCATGTATGTTTGGAAGATGGTTTTTATGGTTTTGTTGCTCTATTTGCTTTTGTGATTAGAAGGAAGAGAACATATTTACCAAACATCATTGGGTAAATATTTGTTAGTTAAAAGGAGGCAAAACATGGCTTGTCCCATGAAAATCATTATTTTCCTAACTGTAATCCTAATCTTTATTCCCACCCAATCATAAAATCATTTGAAGGTAGCCACCCTACAAGGGCCACACTGGAAAACTTTGACATAAGGAGTTTATACTGTTAGATATCTGCTTCAAATGCACGTGCTGCTTAAAGCAGTGAGTTACAGATGGGGTATGGTGGCACATACCTTTAATCCCAATACTCAGGAATCAGAGATGGGCAAATCTCTGGGTGTTTAAGGCCAGCCAGGTTTATATAGTGAGTTTCAGGTCAGCCAGAGCTACATAGTGACACCCTGTCACACACACACACACACACACACACACACACACACACACACACACACACACACACACACAAAACAGTCTATACTATCTGTGATTCAACTGTGTAATCTGTATGCCAAACATTGGGAAAAAAAAACAACTGGTATTTTAAGAAAATTCAAGTAAGACTGTCAATGAGAGTTCATATAGAGCTTAAAGAGAATCATGTGTCACACTGAAATAAAGCCATGAGTATTAGTTTCTGTAATTACATGCAGAATGAATTTGATTGGATAGAAATGAAGCTGAATTCAAAGGGATGAGCAAGCCACTTTTCCCCACTGGTAACTGAGAAGCTGTCTGCTGAGGACAAGGGAAGACTCTGACTTGAAGAGCGTTTTGATTTGTAGGTACAGTTTAAACAGCAGTAACATCAGCAGCTTACATTGCACAGTTGACTTCCTTTGTTCCAGCTTAGTTAAACACACAAAGGAGAACTTAGGGGACATTATATGAATTAACTGTTTTGTCAGTGTGGTAATTTAATGTAATAAATGCCATATTTTCATGTGCATTTAAAAGTATTCCATTATTTCAAGAGATCTGAAATAAGTTTTCAAAATTTAAAATTTTCCTTTGTGTAGTTAGCACTTTAATAATATTGTATCCTGAGAAAGATGAATTTTAGTTCTTAGGATACAAGTGCACAGCCCTGTAGAATAGAAGCAGAAAGGCCTCCAGTCAGTATTGTACCAACAAAAAGAGTGCCTGGTGTACACTCGTGTTATTTTATGATGTATTTCCATGCTTTCTTGTTTACTTTTGGTTTGGTTGTCTGTTTTACACAGGGGAAAGTTGCCCAAACAGCTTGCATGTCAGCCTGCCAACATCTGTCAACATCCTTAATGCAAATGCTACTGGACAGCGAGTTAAAACAGATCAGCATGGGGGCCGTTCAGCAATTTAACTTAGATGTCATACAGTGCGAATGTAAGTACATATTGGCCAACTCTTGTGCTTTCTCTAGAAACCTACACTTAAATATTATGGAAAGTTGTATATAGTAGGACAGCTTGTCAAGGGAGAAGACCCAATTTAACTACAATTTTGGCAGATGTAGAAGTAAAGCTAATTCTTTCTCAGGAAGAAAAATATCTCAGCTTTACATTAACAGCCTCAAAGAGCTTCACTGGAGTGGTGATCTAGGTCAAGGTAACTGAAGAAAAGAGCTATTCTCTCTGGTCATTCTTGCCACCTCTCTGGGACTCTCCTAATGCCTGCCGTGAATGAATGAAAAAAACCACAAGCTTGTCATTTTTACTTTTCCTGAACATGTAGGCTATTGCTTGGATAATCTTAAGACCTTGTGCATCAATTGGTGCTTCTATAATTTTGTTCCTCGTTCCTAAAATGTTTTCTAGCCTTGTTAGCTGCAGCTGCATTTAGTTTATATCACCAAGTTTACATCTGTGGTCTAGTGTTATCATTAGCTAGTGAGCTTTTGGACGTGTGTTAGCCTTATTACACATGCCTCAGATATGGGTTTTATCAAATCTCTGGCCCTACTAGCTACCTAGAGAACTTTGAGTCATTTTCAAGCAGTATCTCAGATGAATGGCTCCCTAATTAAATGATGAAAGTCCCCAGTTGACAAAGGAGTCAGACACCTCCAGTGCCAACTAAAAGTCAGTGGGGCACCAGAAAGATTGCAAAACATTTTCCGGGGGCCGGGGTGGGGGTGGAGGTGGGATTTACAATAATACATTATTTGCAAGACTAAAAAAACTAAATGTCAGCAGCCTTCAGCTAAAACAGAAATAACACATTGGCTTTTTCCCCAGCAACAAATAATAAAATATTGTGTGCCTTCTGTGTATAATATATTCTGCTAGGGGGAAAATGTCTACTTTTTCTTAGAAAGTGATCCTAACTTTATTTCACCAGAAAACTTTTATTTTTCTCAAAAGTAAAATTCTTACTTGTGGAATATTTATTTTGTATTTATAAAAGTATTTGACCCCAAAAATATACCTTTTAAATTTTTCTAATCTCAGATGAATTATTATTTTCCCTTCACAGGTTATTTGTTCCTCTCTTTTCATCCTCCCTGTTCCCCCTTTATCTCTGTATGCCTTCTCCTTATTTTTAATTGATTTTGATTAGTGTACAAAGCAGCAGATTTTCCTGCAGTGTTTTCCACACACGCTGAGCTATGGTAGATCACCCCTAACCACCCCCACCCCGGCCCCTCGTCCTGCCTTCTCCTTCTGCTTGTCCCTCACACCAGTACCCCTCCCCCTCCCCTCTCTGGAACCCTTCCACCCCAGCCTTATGTTTTCCACCTCCTTTTCTGCTGCTGAGAATTGAACCTAGACTGGCACTGTTCTAAATGCACATCCTACCACTGAACAGCATCCCAACTTAAACTGGTTTCTTTAAGAAGTTGTGTTTTGAGGTCATTGCAGACTGATACTGCTTATGTCAATATTTTACACAAATTCTGCTTGATTCAGTGTGGCTTCAAAATAGCTAGGTGTTTGGCCAACTGGCTGGTTCATTAGGTAAAGGCCCTTTCTACCGAGCTTACTGACCTGAGTTCATCCCCAGAACCCACATGGTCGAAGAAGAAAACTGACTCCCACAAGTTGCTCCCTGACCTCTCTACATGTGTGCTGTGGTTTAAGCCCATGCTCACCTTTGTATGCACACACAAAATAAATAAATATAACAGAACTTTAATAGGAATTGGTAGTTGGACCTCTCGTTGGGTTTGATTATGTCTTTTTGGTTACAGATATTGCTGGATGGCATTGCTGTCTGGGTAGGCAGCTTTCTGATGTCTGGCTCTTGTCCTCTTCCCTGTGGAGCGCTATAGAAAAGCATGCATTATGCCCCCACCCAGGCATTGTCTCACCCCCTCCCTAGGACACTTAGTCCCTTTTTCTAGTCATTCCTTTGGGCAGGTACTAAGGGCACCTGTTTATTCTCCCAGAGAATACCAAGAAGGAAATGCAGTGTGGTGTCAGGTGCGGGAGGGGTGAATCTTACTCTGTCGGGCTGAGTCTCGGCACTGGAGATGTGGAAGGAAGAGATGGCAGCTCGACCCCATCCCTACTCCCTTTGTGATTTTGCCTTTGGTTGGCCCTGCTCTTTAAAACCTATCATGCAGAACTGCTGTAATCTTTACGTCAAATGTTTTTCTTGGTTTTCTTTCTTTTTGTCATTTTTTTGGGTAAATTTAGTGTGTGTGTGTGTGTGTGTGTGTGTGTGTGTGTGTGTGTGTGTAGGTCAGAGGAAAACTCATGGGTGTTAGTTCTGTCCTCCCTCCATGTGGGTCTCAGGGATCAACCGAGGGTTGCCAGGTGTGGTGGCAAGTGCCTTCACCACTGAGCCATCGCTCCATCCTTATGACGCTTTAAAATCAAGAACTTGATGCTAAGTTTGCACATAGAAGATGTACATGAGCAATCAGGGAAAGACAGTCAGTCAATAGGTCTCATGGTAGAGAAACAGATGGAAAGACGTTGGGTTTAGGAATAATGGTAATCTAGGCTCCAATTAAGGATCTTCTTTCCATGAGTGATTGGGACAGGGCAGGCAGCCTTGCTAACACTTCCTGTGAGGTCTATCATAACAATGAGACAGAATGTAAATGCATCTGTGGTAAACCATAAATGTTTAAAATAGGAACAATTTTATTTCATAAAAAAGCAGTTATATGTTTACTTAAGATTAAAGAGGAAGATAGAAGGGAAGCCCTTGGTTATTGTTCTCAGGTAGTCTCTCCTCACCAGGGGCAGCTCCTGAGGAGCAGAGTAAAAGTACATTAAAAGAGATTATGGCACACATAATAGAGAAAATGAATACAGTCCACTCACAGTGCGGACTGGTGAGGAGTAAGTAGACAGCTGAAGCTTTAAGTGAGTAGATCGGCACTTTCAGCACCAGCTCTGTGATTCCTTTGTACCCGAAGGAGGAGCTTCAAGTGAGTAGATCGGCACTTTCAGCACCAGCTCTGTGATTCATCCCTTTGTACCTGAAGGAGACCCTGCGTGGTCCAGATAGATTTTGAAAGAATGCATTTATCTGCTTTACTTACTGTGGTATCAACTCAGAAAGGTACTGTGGTGTGTGTGTGTGTGTGTGTGTGTGTGTGTGTGTGTGTGTGTGTGTGTGTGTAGAGACAGATTGAAAATGTATGTGACGTATGCGTATGTACAGATACCTATTCATGTGTGTATAATTGCACATGGAGACCATAGGTCTATGTTTATTTTCTTCAGTCATTCTCTACCTTATTTTCTGAGTCAGGGTCTCTCATTGACCCTGGAAATCACTCATTTAGCTAAGCTGGTTGAGTGAGCTCTAGGGAATGTGCCTATCTCCGTGTTCCAGAGCTGGGATTATAGATGCGTGCTACCACACCCGGCTTTCTGCATGGCTGGTGGGTATCCAGACTCAGGTCCTCATGCATGCAAGACAGCGCTTTCCTGACTGAGCAGCCCCCCAGTCCTGACATTTATCTTTATATTTCTGGGGTTTATTTACTTAACATATATTCCATCTTGCAAAATAAATTTATTTTTAACTTGGAAAAAAATCAAGATTTGATGAAATCTGTATCATAAGAAGTTAACCTTAGTGTCATATGGAAATTAAACTGGATCAAGGGAGAGACCAAAACAGGAAGATGAGCTAAAAGACTTAAGCACTTCCTTTTCAAAGATAAGCAGAACCTGATACTAGGAAGCGGAAATAAAGGAGAAAATTGACTGCAGACACTTTGGAAGAGGGAATATATGAAATTAGTGAATTAATTATGATAGAGTTTAAGATGAAATCCAAAGGTATTAGAAAAACACTGTATCAAACCAGATGGTGGTGGTATATGCCTTTAATCCCAGTCTTTGGGAGATAGAAGCGGCAGATCTCTGAGTTTGAAGCCAGTCTGGTCTACAGAGTTCCAGAACAGTCAGGACTACACAGAGAAACCCTGTCTTGAAAAACAATAACAACAACAACAAAAAAGGAAGAAAGAAAAGACAGAAAGGAAGAAAAGAGAAAGAAACAGGAAAGGAAATACAAAGTACTGTGTCAGTGATGCTGGTGCCTGTTTGCCATTGGTCAGCAAGAACTCTTTCTGCTTGGAGACAGAATCTCACCAAATTGTCAGACTGGCCTCCAACACTCAGTCCTTCTGCCAGCACGGTGCCCAGCTTGATATCTGTTTGGAGGGTTAGTCATTGGTATATCTCCAGGCTGTTCATCGTTTTGGATAAAGGTTTAACACACCTGAAAGCTAAACCGAAGCAAGCAAGCAAAGCTCACTAGCAGCAAAACTCTTTGTAGATTTTTGTTGTTTCTGGTGAAGACTGTGATCTCATGGCTTTGTTTTAGCCTTGGTGCAGACCTGTGTCTTCAAATAAGAATATTGGAAGACAGCCATGAGGATGGCATATGAAGACTGTTCAGTGTCACTTCATAGTGTCCCAACTGTTTGATGGAGGGTACTTTGCTGAGGTTGAATTCCAGGAAGTGGTGAGGACTAGATATTACTTTGTGTCAAGATGAAATAGTAAATACCCTTAAGGCTTGCATCTCTGCTGCAGACCACTTGTAATCTAATACAAGTCAGCCGTAGGAACGCTGACTCCTGACAGCTCACAGCAGGGTCTCTGTGTCACCAGGGAAACCACTAGATGGTGCCCCTAGTCGTTCCTTCTTACAAAGCATCCACACAGGGACTTGGCCCACCCAAAATCTGAGTTCCAACTAGTTATTTTAATTTCAGATTTACTGAGAAATTTGTGCATATACACATGTGCATACACACAGATAAATAAAATGTTAAAAAAAAGTTTTGACAAAATTTTAAAAAGAGGGAAAAGGAGAAGAAACGGGTTGTCAAGCTGACCTGCAAATTGTCCTCTTGTCCTCTGGTTTACATGAGTGCATATGTCTCTCTCTCTCTCTCTCTCTCTCTCTCTCTC